TATTTCAAAATTACAAAAATGGTGCAATGATTTTTGTTATCCAAATCTATAATACTGTTAAATATAGAGTGGAATTGGTGAATAAATTATTCAAGCATCGAATAAACTTCATTCATTGAATTTTAAATTCGGTCAAAGTTAAAATTTAACTGTTTTGATAGACAATTTTTTTGATTTGTTAAATTTCATAAATTTAAATTTACCCCGATACGTACAACATACCCGTAGCCAAATAAGAAATCCATGGGTATTTTGTAAGTAAGGTTTGTAGTGGGTATTTTGTATTAGACTCTGAGTCTTTAAAATCAGTAAACTATAACAATAAATTTTCAAATTAAAAACATGTTAATATAAAATAAAGATACAGTATATTCTGTTATCAGTTACTGTAATTTTCTCGTAAAGTTCTCTTTTAATAGTGAAGAGGGCAAACATGATTGTATTAATATTTCGATTTTTCATGACTGACTAATAAAATTAAAACCAGTTTTATCTATTGAATATGTTTTTTCATTAAATTTAAAATCAAGACGATGGTGAAGTTACAAATATTTTACTCTTTCCAGGTTTTATATATTGTGATGTGGTAGTTACAAAATGGCAATGCCCGATTTTAAGTGAAACGGCACGATAATTCCTGCAACAAGCATACCAAGTGAACGCTTATTTTTCAGACGAGTGCGAACATTATTAATTCCGAAGTAATTAGGTAGAGTGAGTGATACAGTACAGTATTTCTAATCATAATATGAAGAAATTAATTTTATTACAGTATTCCTAATATTTAGGATTAATAACTCTATATAATTGTATATATTAAATAAAATACTGTTGAACTCATATGAACAAATTTTGTATCAGTATTTAGAGTTTATTAGATTTGAAAACATTGTAAACTACAGTCTTAAATCAACAAGTTATAAATATAGCGGCCAAATATTTTTTTACACGAGTAGACAATAATAAGAAAAAGGTTCGGAAGCTGGCTAGAAAAAATTCAACACAAGTTGAAATAAGAGGTAAAGATACTTGCCGATGATGCTTTAATAATTATAATGAAATTTAGTAAAGCTTTTACTGTATAATGTTTATTTAAAATGATGGTAATTCTTCAACACAGTCATACTTATGAAATTGTTTGAGAGCTTGACCCACAGAAAACCTGTTAACACCAAGGTGTTTAACAATTACTCTGACTTACAAGCTTTCCAAGTTCTTTACAACTATTTTCCAACGAATATGTTCTGAAAGTATCATATTTGACGAATTAAAAATCTGACATTGATTTGTAATGATACATATGTATTATGCGTTGTATAACATCAAGATAAATGGCTTATCGAATTCGGCCGAATAGACTTCAGCAAATTTTTTAGGGTGTCCTAGAATTTATGAAAACAGCTATAAAGAACAAGAAATACTAATACAGGATACTATTCTCATATAATTGACACACTTTTGGAAGTTTCCACTCGCTAAATGGCTTTGATGGGTTCTCAATGAATATCGTAAATTTTAGATGATTTTAGAATGCTAGCAATCTCAACATTTCCTGGAACACAACATAATTTCCGAGAAAATATTGTCCCCAAATGCTCATACAATTAAATATTACTGATGGATTTTCCAGAGTAGATGATTTGTACATTTAGTAAATGAATTTTTTAAATTTCTCGATAGTTGTAGATTCAACATTAGGGTGCTACGTCTTGCAAATTAGTAGTACTCGGCTGTTGTCAAAACAAATAGGGAGGAAGAATTAACGTACTAACCCTAACCCTAACCCTAAAGTTAACGAATTTTAAAAATTTTGTCTACGTCACAACCTGGTACACATTATCCGAATGCGTAAAAATTATCCGTCTTGGAGAAACAAGTCAGAAAATCTATATATGGTAGTGGTATAAATACGGAACATTAATAAATGAAAATATTGTGAAGAAAGTGGTACTTAACTTTCTCGGTGCATATTAATAAAAATTTGCAGTATCTTGTGCTAGCCCATATGGTAATTCAAAGAGACCTGATTTTTGGTTAGTATTTCTAGCATTAAAGAAAGAAAAGAACTTCCACTGACTTCCTGGTCATGAAGAATTGTAAAAAATTTTCTTTCAACTTTAAAGTGCATGCAAAAAATCGATTATAACTTTTATATCCTATTCCTTCACTACATCGATTGATGGAAGAAGAGTATTTGCAGAAGAATACATTGATTATTTCTGTATTTACATATCTTGTATGTGTTAGGATGAAGAATTTTTTAATGGAAATAGTCGTATATTCGCCATTTTTAGTATTTGATATTAATGTTAACACTAAACAAAATTTAAATATTAAGAATCTTTGTTTAAATAAATTGTGAAAATTTATATCGATGTAGCTTTCAATAACTAATTCTTAGCTAAATTTAGCCAAACAATAAAAATTTAATATGCTTGAATCATAATACTGTTTAATGCAAATAACTTTCGCTGACTTAATATTTCTAAAAGTTTTTTTTTTTAATGTATATAGTAATATTAAGCATTTCGATTTAATCGATAGTTCGTAACGCGCTGGCGATACAAACATACGTATGTACGTAAGCACGTGCGAACTAGAGGTGTCGATAAAACTGGTGAAACTAAATATATAACCAATGAGAAACTCGAATGGTGAAATTCAAAATTAGTTTCACTACGTACGGGTTCACGCAATCTAAAAACCTCAAGATTTCCAAATGTGGAAACGATGTACCTACTATAATGTGATATTTGAATATGATACAAGATATAATATCAATGCGCATAAGTGCTTTTTTTGATGCATTCATTTGCGTTGTTAATTGAACATTAACTGCATTTAAATCTTTATTTATTAATTTCATTCTTTTTAAAATTCAGCAGGCGAGTATTATAGTTGTTAGACGAAACTTCGAGGCTTTGCGCTGACGAAACGCGAAACCTAGTTTCATCATTCGTCAATTAAAATCTTAAATGACGAAATTGTAAAGGGTGAAAAAACTAATAAAAGACGAATATACTGAAAATCTGGATACGTACGTATATGCATCAAGAAATGCATTTACATAATTTATAAATTTGGGAATGTATAATCACATTTAATCTTCACACCCTGCTTCACGCCATGATCTTCATAGTATTATTTCTAAATAAAGTAAAACTGAAGTTTATAGATTGCGTGAAATGCACTGTAATTTAGACCATATTTAATAATCACTCGCTCACACGTTAGCGAAGTCCTTAATTTTTTGTATTCTTATCGGAATAATCTCTAGATTCTTGTCATACCATACCTCGAGTAGGAAAATTCCATTATCTTGACATATGCATCTTTTTAACCGATCACGATTAACAGTGTCTTCAAGTTTTTTAACATCCTTATACCAACTATATACGTAGTATTATGAAACCGGTGCTGACTTTCTTAAACTTCTAATGCAATTTGATATCTTTGAAAGAAGGCTCAAATTCTAATCCATTCAAAAAAGGAGGTCGATACTCAATTATCGGTTCCTCGTTACGACATGCCTTAGCTATTTGGATGGAATTTTCAGTTTTTTTTTTTAAATTTCAATTCTTTTTTAAGTACCTTTAAATATGTTCCAGTTTTTTTGATTCTGGTTAGGTGTTCCTTATCTGAAACTTCAAGTTTAGAAATTCTTTTATTCAACAAATCAATTGTAGTTTGTATGTTTGCCATTGTTTTATTCAAGAAACGTTTGTATTCAAAAGCTTGAGTGAATAAAAATATTCATATTGATATCAAAAATTAAAATAAATTCTGCAATTATTTAATTCACTGATACAATGAAATAATTCACAAAATACACATGTAAGAGTAGACATAATTAAAAATAATTATGTATGCAAAATCGGCCACCAGACCACCTTTATTGATTTATATATACAAACTTATCCAATAAAGAGTTCAGATTCTTGTAATCTCTGTATCTTCCTATCGGTCAATTGGGTCATAGATCCCAGGCTTTGCCTATTTGGTATCAGTCATTATCAACCCAATTCACTTCATTTTTATTCCGTTCATTGTTGGTGATAAAATATATAGATAACTATGTTAATATGGACATAAGTATATGCGAATGGCAGGGTTATTGGCAAATCGCCAATTCTGATTATAGTATATTCACGAAATACACATGCAAAATCTTTTATAATTTAAAATTCAAAACAGCATTCTAACTCTAAAATTTAGTAAAAATTTATTTTTTAAAAAATTTATTATAAACTAAAAAGTAGATACTAATATTTTCTAATGTTAATACAATATGGGATCTTTGCTAGGAAAATCATCCTTCGGGATTTTCCGATCGGGATAATTCGGAAAAGCTTAGACCAGAATGCAATTCTTATTCATATGTGAATCACCTCTTGCTTTATTTATTCGATAGTTTATTAAATAAGCTGTCGAATCAGTAAAGTAAAAGATGTTTCACATATGAATAAGAACCGGCATTCTGGTCTAAGCTTTTCCGAATTGGCCCGATCGGAAAATCCCGAAGGATGTTTTTCCTAGCAAAGATCCCATATATTGGATGTTCTATAGAATAGGTGGGCAATATAAAAAATAAACTCCGCTAATGATTAGTAATCATTAATAGATATTTAGCTGAGTTTGCGGAGTCTGCGGAGTCTATAGAAGATTCAATAATTTTGATATTATTTAGATTAATTTTATTATGAAAATGTAAAATTTTTGGGCCTATTTTGTAGTCATTTTTTTATACTGTAGTTCGGTTAGAAATTTGAGTTAGTGTTTATAATAAAAGAGTAGCCAGCCTGATCCTGGAAACTTCTTCAGAGGTATATTAGAACTTCACTGCCAGACATCATTAAAAAAGGAATAAAAACGGTTTAACAATTCGCTAAATGATAATTATGTGTGATGTTACTTTTTTTTGTGATCCTTAAATATCGGTATACAAACAATCATTATCATTAGCATAATGATTGCATACTTAAAACTAAAGCTTTTGTAAAATGGTAAAGGTATTAGTACTCGGCGCTTCAGGATACATTGGAAATGCTGTAGCGCAAGCATTTGCAAGATCAGGTCATGAAGCCTTTGGTTTAGTTCGTAAGCGTGAAAAAGTCAATATGTTGGCTAGGAATGAAAGTATGCTTTGTCTTTTTTTTCATTTTTAACTATAAAACTCTTTCCTAATGGACTTTTTTTTTTTATTCTGTAAGTATTTCCAATTTTAGGTGATGTTAATGATTTATCTAGTTGGATGCCTACAGCAGAGCTATGTGATGTCATAGTCGATGCAACATCAGAATATAATGAACCTGTAAAACTTGTTAATACCATTTTAAATTCTTGTAATGAAATTTCTAAAAAACGAGTTGAAGCTGGTGGTAGTAAATTGCTACTTATTTACGCTTCAGGACTTTGGGTGTGCATTATTTTACTGAATATTGATGATAAAATTTGTTAAGCAATAAAAGTACCTTTTATCAATTTTTCTAATTTGATACATTACAGGTCTATGGTGGTGACTCGTTCTCAATAAAATCAGAACAAACACCTCTTCAGACAGACTTAAAACTCGACCTTTGGCGCCCTGAATGCGAACGACAAATTTTAAACTCACCTCATATTAATGGTATAATAATTCGCTCTGGTGCGGTATATGGTAAAAGCGGTTCTTTGACTGGTATTTGGTTTAAAGCCGCAGTTGAAGGAAGATTAGAAGGGATTGGAAATAGAGATATCAGATGGGCTTTTGTTCACGTTGATGATTTAGGTGGGTTCAAAATACTAAAAATGATAGTGTACTAAAGTTTCAAAAAAATAACCTAATTTTGCATTTGATGTAGCTGAATCATATGTGCAAGCGGCCGAACGTGTGGAAATTGTTAAAGGGCAAATTTTTAATATTGTAAACAATTCAACAGAATCAATGGGTGATGTCTTGACTGCGATTGCACGAGTTACTAAATTTAAAGGTTAGTCATCTTTTATTATGTAATTGTCGTATATGAAGGAGATAATAATGAAAATATTTCAAATAATAGGAGAAATAAAATACCGTGAACCTACAACAGATTTTGAGATAGCAATGACTCATACAGACCTTTTTACAAATCGTAAACCACAGACATTACTTGGATGGCATCAAAAAAAATTAGGATTTGTTGATGGAATTGAAATTTGGTGGAATAGTTTTAAAGGTTGGAATGATTTATGAAATAGGTAAATGAATGAAATGAACAATTTATGCATTAGCATAGTAAAGAATTATAATTTTTAATATATATATATAATTGATAAATCATATTGGACTTTTGTATGATATGATTGGCTGATAATTTCAATTTAATTCTACATTATTTATACAGTTTGAAGTACTTTTTCAAAAAAATAAAATTAAAGACAATAAAGAATAAAGTATTGAAAGTTGTTATAAGTTCCCACTACCAAAAATAATCAAAATACTTTTCTTATTTACAGAAGCAAGCAATTTTCGAGGAGAATCATGCAAAATAAATATAGCATCATAGTTAAAGTTAGATTTTAATATCGATATTAAATTTTATAGTTAAAATTAACAAAAGTGGAATAATCATATAGAATTTTATTAGCATTAAAACCACCGCTACTAATTCTCTAATCCTTTAAGTGAACTTTTTTTAAAGCGAAAGATCATCTTATACTGTTAATTATTACGCAATGTATGACAATCTTCACCTATCTTTACATATCATATTTGAGGTTTTTGCTTTGAAAATGGTCTTAAGGGACATGATAATTATTATGTCCCCATGATAAGAAGACAGACAAAGACCTCATTTTCCTTAATTACTGACTATAATTTATTTAAATTCGGAACAGCTAGGGAAGTTAACGGTCTAGTCTATTTTGTCCAGTTTTTGGTCTGGGGTTTATTACAGTATTATAATTAAGAGTTAGAATGGTCCAGACCGGTCTGGTCTTGAGACTAAGTGCAGATCAATTTTTTCCAGGTTCAGACTAACTGTGGTCTAAGACCAGACCACATAACATCCTTAGGAACTAAAAGTTAAAAGTCTCATAGCCTGATTCGTTGCTTATGTGGTATTTACAAACTTAAATTGCCTATTTAAATATGTATATTAACAATCTTTATTATATCATGGAATAAATTGATAATTATACGATTATATGCAAGAAATTTATTAAGAACCAGGAGCTAGTATGAAATTAGAGCACAAGATTTTTATACTGCAAAACAAAAAAATTTACAATTCGAGGTGAAAGCAGAATAAAATTACCTAACTTTTACTAACAAATTTTGAGTGATACTACGGCTGAAAATGAAACGGTATTTGGATTTTAGTTATCAAAATTAAGTAGAAATTCAAATTCCCAAACTATTTAGTTATAATTCAAAAAAAAAAGAGTCGCAACACTACTATAGAATTCATGATATAAAAAATATAATTGACTACCTACCTTCCACTACCATCATAATAATACCCTTATCAGAAATTTTTTTTACACATGCTCACATTAAACCTTGTAACCGTTCACTGACTAGCTCGATTACCGAATCCGTCAAATTTTCAACATCTGACATCGACCTTTCTAGCAACTTCTCTAATTTCTTACAGGAACAAGAATTTGGTCACTTAGATCCTCTCCAAAAAAAGAAAGAATTAAGACGACGTTGAGGAGAGCGTATTGAACCGTTTGAGTACTACGTGATAAGGTGATCGGCAGCTTAATAAGGCTTGCATTATTAGTGAAAGCCATAACAATTCAACTCCATACTGACGATTTGCATATTAAAATGCAAGGCAATAGAAGTTATATATTTAAAAATCCGTAGGATCAATTTCGAAATAAACATAAATAAAGCTTATAGCTACAAGCTAATAATTACAGAGTCATTTGTTAAAATATTTGTCAAATGCATGTACGGGGGTGAGTCAGTAGAAATGCACCGTATTTTTTTTAATGAATCTTCAAACAAAAATAACTTAGCAAAGGCTTAACCAAATTTAGTAAAAATTTTTTTGTTTACTTAAAGTTTTAAAAAAATTTACTTAGAAAAAATATGGTGTGCTTCTACTGACTCACCCCCATATTAAGGTTGAGGGTATAATAGTGGCTTTTGCGTCGAAGTTGAAGACGAGAGCGGCCAATGCAATCAAAGATTAAAAATAAAAATAGCTTTGACGGTAGGCATCCAGGATCTGGTGTAATGATATGAAGCCATCAAACTGGTGACGATTAATTTATACAACAGTACAAACTTAATTAATAAATTGATGTTTTTAATGTTTAAGATAAGAAAAATTGATGTTTTTATGGTTCTTGAAAATATATATTTGTTTTTTTTAGAGATAAAGTGTTATATTAGTTGGGCCCAAAAAAAGACATGCATTTAGAGAGGTTTTTTATAGATATGCATTTAGAAAGGTTGTATTTAGAGAGGTCTAACTGTACTGTATAAATATTTAAAATAATTTTTTTATTTAAAAATATTTTATTCTTGTAAAATTTTTAAAGAAATACATACTGTATTTATAAAGCTTACAGTATATTTTTAATTTTATTATTAAAAACAATCAATTATTTTTTTTGAATCAATTTGGCAATTATGCTAATACTTTATTAGACTTACATCACTTTTCTATCTATTTTCTATCTATTTTATAAAAGCATGATTTAGAGCTATATGGACCTTGCCATACTGTCTGGCCTCTAAGTGACAAGTATTAACTAATCTGGCTCTTTGTAACTGAAGTCCAAATTACTTATATTCGATCTGCTATAGTAAACTTTTCCTCTATACTATTTTTTCTGCAACTAAAAAATCTAATATTTTACCAGAAAGCATTTACACCCTGCTTATTATGATTGTCTTCTCTTTTCTTAGTTCTAAACCTTCTTTTTCTAACTTCCTAAATAGAAAAAATTTCTAATTACTATATGAAAAAATTTTAAAATTAAAAAAAAAAGTAGAGGTGTAGCGTCTTAGTGAAGTGGTCTAGTTGTCACCCTTTCCAAATGGTAATAGTATAGGTCTTAAGTTCAAATCCCAGGGATGATGCTTTCGAAAAAATGAAATATGTCAGCTAATGATCTTTATTAAAGTTGGCCTATGGATGATCTAGGTGTTTCGGGCATCAGTTATGTGATTCCGGGTAGCTGTAATCTGTGAGTAACCACGGGACTGGAGATCGAAGCCTGTTTGGAAAGTCCTGAGTTTGGAGGTAGTAATAATCTTTGACAGTACTACATGAAGGTTGAATTTGAACCGAGGTCTGAAATTGAAGAACCAAGCGATCAAGTCCTTAAATGGGGAGACATACCAGTCAAACTGCCAGTTTAGACATACCGGAGGAAAAGGCTATATGCTCTGAAAGTATGGACCAAGGAAAAGAGCAACTTTTAGGTATCTAAAGCCTAGGCAGACCAACCCATTCGGGTTGCTAGCTAGAAGTAAGGGAGAAACCAATAAAGAATCTAGATAAGAAGACAACTGGAATGTGGGTACCGGGTTGTTGTGAACCTTACAAGAGCAGAAGTATATAATGAAGGACTAATTAGGAAGGTTGTGCTTGAGATACGGATTGTGGCATGACAGCACCCCAAAAGGTGGCTTGAGATATGAATACAATAATAGCAAACAATAGGTACTAATTGGGAAGTAATTATCGAATGAGCATGCACTATCATGTATGGGACACAGTGTTGGAAATCTATGTTTACAGTGTTCACAGTGAATATAAATTTTTTAAAAAAATTATAATTTTTATATTTTATGTTGAATATAAGAAATCAAAACTTTTATATTTTATGTTCACATAGTGTGATATAAATTTTAATTTTTATAATTTTTTATCTATAATTTATTAATATAAATCTTGTATTTATACTAATACAAGTGTAATAGAATACTGTTAGCTCTTATTAGATATATGATTAAATATGGCATAACTATATCTATATTGATATAAGATGTTATAAAACAAAAAAAAATTTTATAATACCTTAAAATTTGTAAATTTGCATATTCTATAACAGTAAATATAATGAAAAGCTTAATAATTTCTATCGGCTAATAAATGATTGTTATGAATAGTTAGCATTCTATTACTCAGTCTAATATTTCTTTTTGCATAAAAATAAACCTAAGTATTTAGTTTATTTATAGTGCTAGATAATAGTTGTTAGACAAAATTTTTTTCATATAATAATGAGAGACTAAAGTTAAATCTCTAAATTCTTCTAACAAAAGACAAAATCTTAATTGATAATCCACCAGTTACCTGAAGAATAATTATAGTAAAATATAACTCAGATTACTATATAAATTTAAGTAGTGCATAAAGAGAGTTCTGGGGTTAGAATTCCGTAAATATATCCAGAATTGGTTTCTTACCTTTTTTCAAGCTCTTCTAGATATATGTAATCTTATATTGAATTCAAGCTCTAAATTATGCTAGAGCCAGATCCTGTTAACTTACTCTCCTTACTCC